TTTTTTTTTTTATATGGGGCTGGAGCCCACCCTAGCCCCTGACAAGGTTTAGTCCATTTTAGAATAATAGTTTATAATTCTTAGGTGGCACAAGTATGACACGGCAACTCTGATCATATTCTACCTCTAATTATTATTACTGTCATCGTTATTGTTATTTTCAAGTTCGTTCTTTCGTTTTCTGTTGGTTGAAAAGATGAGAGCTACCGGGGAAAATTTCATGCTACATGTAAGGGTACTGTCCCTACATACTTTTTTACTATTGATTTTACACACACTCATGTGAGTGTGTGTGTAAATGTGTGCATATCAATGGTACAAAAGTGTAAATGTGTAAATGTGTGCATATCGACTCTTCCAGCTACCGGATGGGATTGACATACGACTTTCAGTTTCAGCAATAATCTATGGGCACATTTGTCAAGACGAATGAGATAAGATAATATTTATTATGTCTATCAAGATTGAGAGATATGATACACGATTAATTTGTTGTGTATATGATTGACTTAAGATAAAATTTGTTGGATATAATGTGTTTTGTATTTTTTGTCCTTGATAAATGATAGAATAAATTGTATGTTTACCAATTTGCCCTTCAAATAAACATAATTTTAATTGCTAATGATGCACACTGTTTGAGGATTCATAGCAAAAATTGTGGCACTCAAATACATTTGGTACACCTGTTTCTATACGTTTTATTATTATTATTTTTTTACAAGTTTTAATACTACTTTTTTCTTCATGTTTATCAAACTTCAATCTGTGTGTGTTCATGTTATTAGTTTTTAATTGGTCATAGAACAAATTACCATGGTTTTTATTGAGGTTTTGCGAAAATCTGTACTGTCACCTAATAAACGTTAAAACAAGATTAGATCCGCTAATTACCGTCTTACGACTTCTTCTTATGTAGCAGGTGCCATTTTTTAGTAGCAAATGTTCAAAACCAAACAATAACAAACGCAAGTTATAGAGGAAAAAAACTGCCAAAACAAATACTAAACACACAAAAAAACACGAAATCAAAAAATATACTGAAAATATGAGGCAAATGTATAACATGTAGTTGTTCGCACTACAAGAAATGTCAATTTTAACTAGACAAAAATTTCTAGGTAAATCCGTTTACCTAGAAAATAGCTAGACAATTCCTACAAATGCTGTTGTAGGTAAAGTGCTTGTTGGTAAATTTTTCCCTAGACACATACCAATGTCTAGGTAAATTTCCTAGACATTTACTACACAATTGCAACAAAACAAAATTTTAGCATGCCAACACAATACCAACAAAAATATTTGTAGTTAATTATTTGTCTAGCTATTTCCCTATAAATTACCTACATTTTACCAAGATATATGCCAACAAAATACCAACAAAACTCGTTCCTACAGATTCCCTACAAAATTTTTAATCAACTTTGCTACAAAATACCTATAAACGTTTGTAGTTAAATATTTGTCTAGCTATTTCTCTATAAATTACCTACATTTTACCAAGATATACGCCAACATAATACCTACAAAATATTTATCTACATATTACCTACAAACTTTTTCATCAACATTACGACAAAATACTTAGAAACTTTTGTAGTTAAATATTAGTCTAGCTATTTCCCTATAAATTACTACATTTTACCAACATATATGGCAACATAATACCTACAAAACTGTTACCTACAGATTACCTACAAAAGTTTTCATTAACACTACTACAAAATACCTAGATAACTTTTGCCTACATATTACCAATAACAAAATATACCTAGAAATTACCAACATAAAAACATAGCTAGCAATTACCTACAAACTACACTACAAATTACTTAGAAAATTTTTGTCTACATTTTACCAACAAACCCAAGAGCTAGTAATTACCTACAAATTTGAAACAGCTACAAATTACCTACATGTTATTATTATCAAGTACCTACAAGTTACCTACAAGTTTTTTGAGTCTAGATATTTTGTTGGTAAAATAGGTAGAGATTACCTACAAATTTTAAAGGGCTACATATTTGCTACAAATTATTATTTTTAAAAAAATTGATATATTTTCAATTCAAAAAGTACATACTAAAATCATATAAAAAAATACACCATCTATTTTAAAGTAAATTACCCATGAATTCCAAAAGTCTCACGACTATATCCAAAATAACTGATGTCATAAGTCAAGTATCAAACAAGTATAAATCCGTCCTCCAAAATATAACACTCGCATTCAAAATATGATAAAAATAATACAAGTATCAAACAAACAATAAAATCATCTAGTTGTCATTTAGCCTCGTCTCACCGCCACTTTGAGATGTGCTCCCGCGAGACATCATCATCTCAAAACGTTCTTCGAAAGTCTTAAATTGTTGTTGCAACTCATCCAACTTCACTTGCACTTCAGCTCGCCCTTCAACCCTACCTTCCTCTCGAACGCGCTCCAACTCAGTCTGGGAGCAATGAGAAAGCTGTTCCAAAGAGGTCTTCAAGCATAAGATTATTAAAATCAATAAATCTAACAACTTTACAAAAATAATTTGCCAATATAAATAAATGAAGAAAACAACTTAGATAAATTCTAACTGCCTTGGACATCAATATAAAAGGTTGATCTAGCATGTACAGTACATATGATCCGCAAACAAACTAAAAAATAAAAAATCATATAATAGAAAGGTCTTCAATTCATACCATTACTGTTGCAAAAAAACTAAAGAAAAATCTTCAATTCACCACCTTAAATGTTATGTTTTCTTCAATTATTAAATACATGAATAACCATCACTTACACAACAAAAATATATTTGCAATCACCAACAAAATTTTAACAACTTCAATGGACAGAAAATAAAGAGATTCCACAAACTCAAACACCCCATAAATAATCAAATAAACTAAAACACTTAAAATCACCACGAAATCCAAATTCTAAGCGTTAACAAAATCACTTGAATGAGAATAAAAAGATAAAACAAAGAAAAGTGAAGCTACCTGTGATGTGCCATAACTCCCGATACCGTATAGGCGTCGTTTTTTACAAGTTCCTCCCACGGCTGTGATATAAAGCTCGTCGATCCTTTTATTGCTTTGTTCTTCTTCTATGTTCGAGTCGACAGTCAATGACGGATCATTTGAAATAAGAGACTCCAGCTCCAACTAAAAAATGAAATGCAAGTTGAGAAATTAATAAAAAAAACAAGCAGATGAATACTTGAATAAAGAAGTAGTTTATGACTTACAGCAACTTTCTCGGACCTAGTGTCTGTCCACTTTCCCTTTGCCTCATTCCAGTGTAATTTCTTATAGACCTCATAATGGGTAGGCTTTCTTCCCAATTTTTGAGTCTGAAGTTAACAAAATGACCAACACCAAACAACAACAACAATAAGTTTCTCTAATGTAGACGAAAAAGAATTATGACTATAAAAAAATAAGTTTCTTTAATACACATGAAAATTTTACCAACTCTCGCGCATAATTGTCTGCCGACTTGGACCCTCCATTGTGGACAGACATT